TTTACAAGACTTAATAGGCTAAACTCATTATGATAAAACTTAAATATTTATTTTTAATTTTTTGTTTTATAATACTTAAATTTTAATTTAAATTTTAGTTAAAAATTTTAAGTTTTTTATAAGTACTAAAATTTTAAATAAATTTTTTTTAATAAATTTTTAACTAAATTTTAATAATTTTCTTTTATTTTAATTTTATAAACTTATGGAATTTAAATAAAAAAACTTTTACTAAGTTTGATTAAGAGTAGAAAGTATTATTTTAAAATTATATATAAACTTAATAATAAATATTTTTTATAATTAAATTATAGAACTTATATTAATTAAATCTATTTTAAGTAAGGATGTAATAATCTAGTGAAGTGGTCAAATTGTCAACTTTCTAAATAGTAAGTTGGATGTTCAAATTTCATCAACAGAAAAAATTTGGATAATTACCTATGTAATACTTGTATTATAGCAACTGTACCAATGATTTGGTTAGAATATCTGTAATAATAATTATGCTAACATAACTAGTAGGTTATAAAGCATTTGTATAATCTGTTATATAGAGAAATGCAAACTAATATTGGGTAGTACAAACTTTAGATAAGTCCTTGTAGCTATATAGATCTGTTAAAATTAAGTAATAAGAAGTCATTGAAAAGATCTAAGTAAAGAAATAGCTAGATTTTTGAATATTTTACTGTAAAGTCTAAGTTAGAAAAACAGATACCAAGGTCATAATATCTAATTATAATACCTAAATAGGCAAGAACCTTCAGGTTGGAAGTCTCGGAAGTATCACTAACTAGACTGCTAGAACAAACTAAAAGAAAAGAAAATTAGGCTAACTTAATATATCAATAGACTGGTTATAGTTCTACATGAGTTATCTAAATTGGGAGTCTGGTTAAAGGCTATGCTGTAAAGTAGATGCTAAAGTCTGTATGAACTCTATAAGAGCATAGTAGTTTAATTATATAACTTTGATTGCAAGTGTTAGTTCTGTTATAGTAATACCTAAATTAGCTGTAAAAATAGATATAGAAAACTCTGAAAGGTTTACCTCAAAGATAAATAGTTCTAAGATTAAAATGATGATCTGGGCATTTGAGTATAATCTAGTAAGGTTAATACAGATTACAGGTTCAGAGAGTTTAAAGCAAAACACCCAAGCAGAAATGTTAAGTATAACAATTGATAGAGAACTTTTAGGCAAACTCATTAAATAAGTAATATAAAAAAGTTGTATATGTAACCAATTGTACACTTTTCTGTAATAGTTTATTAAATCATATTGCCAAAAATTATTAATAAAAGTCAAAAGACCAAAAAGATTACCTTAATACTAAAAAAAAAAAAATCTATTTTAAACTTCTAAACAAATTTGTAAAGTAGGTTTTGTAATTCTAACAATAATTTTATTAAAATTAGTTAAAATCTCATCAAATTATTAACATTTAAAAATTAAATACAATTTTTTATTATAAAATTTATTATATAGAATTATGAAAAGTAACTAATCAAAATAGATTATTTTATATTATCTAGAAAATTTGAGTTAACTCATATAAACTTTATAACATATATAAGTATAAATTTTTTATAATTAATAAACTTTAAAATTTTATAAAAAAATATATATTATAAAAAGTTTATAATTTTTTATTAAATTTTAAAAAAAATTTATTATAAGTATTTGTTCATTTTTTACTAAAAATATAATTTCTCATATAAAATATATAGAAAATGATCTATTATACTCATTATTCTTAAATATTAATTAAAAAATTTTGTTTAAAATTCAATATTTATAAAAAAAAACTGTAATAAGTTTTTTATTAAAAATTTAAATAAAGATTTTTTAATTATTATCTTATGAGAATAATGATTCTAATATAGTAGTTGGATTGTTATTCTTTAAGCAATAAGTTCAATGTTCAAATCCTATCAACAATAGAATTTTAAAAAAATAGTCCTATTTTGGCAAAACTTATTTGTGATCTGAGATTTGTAGATTTTATAATTTTGGTTATATTAAGACTAACTTTGGAAGTATGTAATATTATACAAATAAATCTGGAAGTATATATTCAGATTAGAAGTCTGCTTGAAAATCCTAAGCAAAAAGGTAGTATAACTTTTGACAGTATCATTTGTAAAGATCTTGATTTGAAGAAAAAAACCTAAGGCAGGTGACCTATATAGACAATAACCTCTAGGTAGAAAGTCCACCAACCTGACCATTAGTTGATCTGAGCATGAAGTTGCATCATGCAGAGCTAACTAGATTGGTAGTATAGGAGGATTTGAAAGAGTAGATGAAGTATTAGTAAGGTTGTAAAAGGATGATACTGAGGCTATATAAACTTCACAAGAGTTGTAAATTAGATTTAGTTGTAAATTAAAATACAAAAGGCTCTAGTAATGATATCTTGAGAATACATTGTATGAAATAAAATATAAGGTCCTAAGAATATAGATATGTATCTAGAACTTCTCAACTAACATTGTGTAATAAAGATGTTCTAGTAATACAGTAAGAATTGCAGTACAGAGAGTTTAAATAGATAACACCTGTAGTTAGATTGCAGATATGGCAGCTAGTATAGAACCTATATATAGATGGACTATTTAAATTAGACATCAAAAGTGTACATATAGCTAAATGTACTTTTTAATATAAGGTAGCTTCTTTAAGATAATCAAACTGTAAGCTACTATGTTTTACTATACTGAATAAAAAAATCCTAGTTCTAAAAAGACTAATTTAACTATAAAAAAAAATAATAATAATAATTATCTTATTAGAGAATGATGATCATAATATAGTAATCAGATTGTTATTCTTTTAGTAATAGGTCTAGTGTTCAAATTTCATTTATAATAAAATTTAGAAATTATATTTATATTATAGCAAACTGTCTCTTGATAATTAGTTGAATTGATATATCTGTAATCTTAAGTTGCATTATCTCAAATAAGAACTCAGAGTATTTATATAAAGTATAACATTATATATATAGAGAAAAATGTTAATAGCTAGTATTATATAAAACTTTAGTACAAACTTATAATAAAACTATTAGACACAATAAACTAAAAAACTAAAAAATTAGAAATTTATTTGAAAATTTTCAAGTAAAGAGATAGTATAAACTTTTGATATTATAGTTAGACTAATAAAAGTCCATAAAATATCTTTAAAAAGATAAATAGATAAATTAGATAACAAGATATATAAAAAAACATATAATTAATTAGGTTAACAAAATTGTCAGAATAAAAAAAAATATATATATATTATATTAAGTTATCTAAATTGAAAGTTGAAAAAGTTCTATTAGTTCTGAATAGTAATTATTAGTAAAGGATAATAAAGAAAACATTATAATAATAGGTACTAAAATTTTAGTAAACTTTACAAGAATAGAAATAGTAATTAAATAGGTAATTCCTATAACTGCAAGTATTAAAAAATTATAATATATTATATAAAACTAAATCAACTATATGTGAAACATGAAAGATTCTAACAAGTTTCCTATTAATGATAAAATAGTTCTAAAGGCTTTGACTGCATCAGATACTTTTAATGAGTGTAATCCTAAAGATGTTACTATAATATGAATTAGGATTGTATATGCAAAAAGTTTAAATAAGCAAGACTCATAGTTAACTTGCAAATATGACATCTAGTGTAAAACCTGTATAGTAATGTATAGACAGACTACTTAACTTAGACACCAAAAATGCATATCTAACTAGTTGTAACCTTCTATATTTGAACACTTCTAGAAACATTCATATCCAAAAAACTTGAATAAAAAACATCAACTCTTAAAGACAGAAACTTTAATTTAAAAAAAAAAATTTGATTACCTTATTAAAATTCAATAGAATTTTTTTATTTTAATTTCTAAGTCAATAAAATTAAAATAAAAAAACTTCATTAACTTTCATTAAATAATTATAAGATATTTTTGCTTAAAGTTAAAAAAAATTTTACAATAGTTTTTTACTTGTTTCTAAGTTTTTTAAATTTTCTAAGTTTTTATAAGTTTTGTTGTAGAAATTTTTGACTTAAATTTTTTCATGTTTAGTTTTTGTTTAGTATTAGGGTTTGAGAAGGGTTTTCAGGAGCGTACGTAGAACATTTTTACTTGTACTGATTAATTAGCCAGTTTTTGAGACAATGCATGCATAGGTGTAAAACACCATAGATGCGTTTTAAGTAAAATTCTTTTCCAAAATTTATCTATTTTAAAACTTTGAACGAACTATTCTCAATAACTAACTAAATTCGATAAAATTTTTTTTATTTTAATTCTAGTAATTTATAGAATTAAAATAAAAAAAAAATCATCTGAAATTAAGTAAATATTGGTTTAAAGTTTTAAACAACCTCTAAATTTTAAAAAGGTTGATCATATTTTCGATCCGAAATTTTCCTGTAAAAAATGTGTGACTGCTATCTTAGTCTGTAGGTGCACCCTAAGTAGGTGTGGGCACGAAAATTTTTTTGGGCATGCCTTTGGTCTTTCTAATTTAAAGACATGCCCTCAAAATTTTTTGTGCATAAAAAAGGAGGGACGTGCCCACAACCCCTAAATTTTAATAATTGTTCAATTTTCTGTTAAAAGTAATATTTTTTTAGTACGTATCGGTGTAGTTTTCATTTTGCGCTTTCAAAAGTAGGTGTTGGCACGGTAAATTGATAAGTACAGTACGTACGTGCGTACGGATATATTTTTTTCCTTAACGAAATTAAAGTCAACGTTATCATAGTTACTGTAGATCAACCAATCATAATGTTACCAGCCACGTGTAAAAAGTATAATACATTAAATAGTATAAACAGTGAAAGCATTATAAATAGAAAACAAACAGGGACGTACATACGTACGTACGAAGCTCTCTTGTAACTTTACTTGTAACTTGTAGACAAACTCCAACGATTTCTGTGAATTACTCTATTATCCCATATACGTGCAAAGACTATATCGTACAAAATGTCCGGAATTTGTAAAGCTCGCCTCACCGAAGAACGTCGGCAGTGGAGAAAAGATCATCCATACGTAAGACGATGGATCTATAATTTTCCATTCTTTACCAGAGCAACTTTATTCTTACAAACGTTTACTACCTTTCTTAATAGGGATTTTATGCACGTCCCGTAAAGACTGAAAACGGATTAGATTTATTGAATTGGCAAGTGGGAATTCCGGGAAAAAAAGGGGTAAATCATTGGCGTAATTTTTGATTTCTTTAAACTGACTCTACTCTCAGGGTATGAGTTAAGTAATACTATATTATATTAAAGCGTGCTGAAATTTTCGATTATTATGACAGACACCATGGGAAAACGGCGTGTTTAAGATGACGATGACATTTCCAGAAGGTAAAGAGTCTTTTCCATCAAAATAATAAAAATTTTATTGCATTTAGACACTCAAATTTAATAAATTCCTATAAATTTAAATAAAAAGATTATCCATCCAAACCACCGAAATGTAAGCCTGTCTTCCAAAAATAATGGACAACTGTATAAGAGATCTAGATGATCATTTCGGCGAAGCAGTTAAATGGCTCCTTATGGGTGAAAGTCAATGTTATTTTTAAATATATAAAGCCTTCACAACATTTATATTCCATTTTTAAATTTTTTAGGTAAATTTGTACCTGCCCTCTTTCATCCAAACGTGTATCCTTCCGGAACTGTTTGTTTGTCGATTTTAAATGAAGAAGAGGGATGGAAACCCGCAATTACCATTAAGCAGGTAAATGAGTTTACAATCATAATATATTGGTGTTTTTTCTTTTTAGTAATGTGCATATGGACTATCTATTTAGATTTTATTGGGCGTGCAGAACCTTCTTGACGAGCCGAACCCTGACAGCCCTGCTCAATCCGATGCATACATGTTGTTCAAGTATGTTTTAATTCGCTCACAGTTTCTTTTATATTTTATTTCATTCTTAATACATTAAAATACAACAAAAACATTGTTTACAGAAGAGATCGTGTGGCATATGACAAAAGAATTCGACAACAAGCTAAAGAGAATCCTGCATAATCGTTCCTCTATTGGTGTAAAATTAGTTGTTGTATAGTCTGCCACTTATTTCTTCTATTATACTTCCATTTGAATAAGTATTTTAGACTAATGCGGAAATGTAGGTCTTATATCCATTATGAATAAAATATTTTTCGCACATAATAATATATAACCTTGAAATTTCAGCCTTTCATTATTGTTATTGTTTACACTCTTTCATATTTTTAATATAAATATTAGAGTTTGCCACAATTTGATGTGATTTAAAGTGTAGCAAGTCGTTTTATGCTAATGACCTGGATGTTCGTCTAGAAACATATAGTATAAAGACAATTCCGAGCAAATTTGACTGAAATTTATTATGAATTCACTTTGATCTACTTTAAAATTTTTTTTTTCAATTTAGGCCGTAAATTAAAAAAAAAAAATTATAAAATTTTATGTATAAAATCTAAAATCGGCCAGCCGGGTATGTTCGAAAATTTTCAGATCAAGGAATTAATTTTTTATCGTCGTGGAATCAGAAAATTAAAGATTTTAATTTTTTTTTTTGCTTACAAAAGACTATCGTAATTTGCGGCAAATAATACCCCTTGTTATGCACCATCCGTAACACCATGCCCACCCATAGCGATAGTGTTTCAGTTGGTCAAAAAGTTTTCAATCAATTGACAACTAGGATTTTTGCTTTGAAAATCACCCTCTGATATTTCCGATCGGGATAATTCGACAGAATCAAACCTCAGTGTCATGGTCAGGTATTCGTTTGATTGGCTGATGTAGATCAATTATCTGGGTAACTTATTTATACACTTTAAAGTACTTTTTAGGAACGTACTGTTTCACTAATAAAAAATCGCCAAAAACCATTTCTAATTTTAAACGAACGTTAATATTCACCTTGCAAAAGAATCAAAAAAGAATCATACTCCCGGCAAACTTTGCTTAGAAGACAAAATATATTGCTGCCTATTGGACCGTGTGAACTTATATTGTAAAGGTAACAAAAAATGGTTTCGTTTGAAACTATTTTATTATACTAGATTTAAATAATTTTTATTGCTAACTGTTTAATTTGAATCAGTACAAGATTTTTGTAGTAGATTATTTGTGTTTAATATTTAATCTTTAAGTTTAGTTAATTCTTTTAATGTTTTTGGGTTTGTTACCCGTAAATTAGAGTTTTGGTTTATGTTTTGTAGATTCTTTTTATATTAAGTTATTTAGTGTTAAAAAATTATGTAATTTTATTGGTTAATTATTACGGGAAATCACGGGTAGATCTACAAAAATTAACCAATCATATGAATGTCTTCCCATGAACCCCAGTGTCGGGTGTAAATCATTTTTTGCTTTTGTTGATTCAATTGAATCAATGAAGGTAAAAAGATGGTTTGGTCCGATCAGAAATGTCGGTGATTTTCAAGGGACGAACTACGGACATGTACCGTACTCTAACTGAACATGAACCGTCCATGGACAGTCAATGTCCAATGTCCATAGTTTGGACATGGACATATCTTTTATATGTCCATGGACGTGGACTATCCATATCCATTGACAGCACTGCCCTATACGTAGTAAATTTTCATACGTAATACATTTTTTTTTATAGATCGACAAATGTTATATAAAATTCAAACTGCATAACTCTTTAACCAGAAACCGCGCATAAATAAAATTACATTCGCCAAGTTCGTTTTAACATGCTCTTTAAAGTAATAACGCTATTTTTATTTTTATTGTCTAGAGTGTGGCGAAAGACTCAATTTTTATGCGAAGTTCTCGTTCTTGCTGCATTTTAATAAAAAACCAAAAAAGTAACAATGAAATTTCGGGTTGCACATTGCATGTGTGTAACATGACTTCTTACTGCGGTTTCAGTTTAATTTATTTGTGTGGGTTTTCTAGTCAAGAGCTTGAATTTTATAATATATTTTATTATTACTATTACTATTGTTAATTTATAAAAAAAATGTATTAAGAATTTACTATATAATCTGCACTATGTTTATTGTGTAATTCCAATGTATGCGATGTAAAAATTCGGTAAATCATGTGCATATTATATTTTTGTATAACCTTATGTCAAGAAAATTCTGGGTTTTGAATCATTTCTAATTTGATTTTAAAGGCTGCATTCATTAATTAAATTTTTTACAAAGTTTGAGCAAAAATATTTTAATAATTATATAATTAAATTTTAGAAATTTTTTTACAGTCTAATCTCTTTATAGTTACACTTTTGGAATACAGAAATTAGTATTTATAGAGGTATAACAATTATAAAGATACCTTTATATAGTTACAACATTATTAAAAAAAAGTAATTAGTAATTATATAGAGAATTTATTAAAAATCTTTTTTAAAAAAAATTTATTTAATAAAAAATAATAAAAATAATAAAAATAATTTTATTTTTTAAAATATATTTATTAAAATTAATAGTTTAAATATTTGTAATTATAATATGACTATATAGAATTAATTTATATAAATGGTTAATAAAAAATTATAATAGTAATTATAATGTAATGAGATACAAGTAATACACTCTTTTTTGTAAATCTTTTGATAAAAAATTATAGAAACAAAACATAAACAATATAAAAATATATAAATAAACAATACTTAAAACACTAATAAAAAGAATAAAAGTCTATAAAATACAATTAACTAAGTTAGAAAACAGAAAAGAAACTAGTACAGCAACAGATAACAGCAAGAAACCAAATTTTTTAACAAAATTATAAAAGATTTTTAAAAAATTAGAAATTCTTACTAATCTTGTTTCTACAGATATATTAGTTATACAAAATTAAAAAAATAAACAAAAGCTTGTATAGCAAAATAGCCAAACAAAAACATATAAATATAAACAAAAATAATTATATAAATATCATATTAAGCATATGAACATAGAAATATAAAAAAATAATACAAACAATAAATAACATAATAATACAAAATAAATAAAAGAATTAAAGATATTAAAATTAATAAGAAAGAGAACAAGTATAGAATTAGAACAAATAAATAGTAAAGAATTAGAATTAGAATTAGTAAACAGACAACTTATTTAATATTAAAGATTTTGTAATAGTAGTATTATAAAAAACTAAATTGATAAAAGTAGTAATGTTAATAAAAATATATAAACTAATAGTCAAAATTAATATAAGTAATGGGGTGTGGGTCCCATAGCTTAGCGGTTAAGCTCCCTTACCCTCCACAGTCAAGGTCAACAGTTCAAGTCCAGCTGAAGGCAAAATTGAAAGATTTTAGCTTCTGTAATCTAATAAGGAGCCTGTAATTGAATATGAAGCCCTGTGGT